TTATTATTTACTACTAATTAATTATTTGGATTAAATTATGATTTTATTGTACTTGTTTCTTAATTTGTGTTCGCTGCCCTGAGTCCTTTGGGAGAATGGCAGTGTCAGCCTCTGCTTTTACTGCTTCAGCTGCCATAAGAAACGGGCGGGAAACAGTTAGGGGGGCGAAGGGGGGGAAGGGCGCAGGAGGAGTCTTTCCAAGAAACGAAACCGATTCTCCAAAGGGGCCGTCAGACCAACTGTCATTACATTCCTGATGGATGACGTTGCCAGACATGATTCCACCTGACCTTTGGGAGACCTTTGGATTGGATGATGGACGATGGACAAGGGGGGGGGAGATGTTTTCTAGATGCAATTTCGCGCGTTTTGCTTAGTTCCAGTTTTACCTGGGTTGCGATTGCTTCATTTTCAGTAAAAGTACTAATCTATAAATAATGGAGTTTGGGTCATTCTTTCCTGGATTTTGAAGGAAGCATACCTGACAATAAGCTGGAACTCACTCCAGTCATCCCCGACAAAAACCAAGGGGAACTGTAATCCAAATTATGTCAGATGAAGAGAGTGACGGAGACCAGATGGGGGCAGCACCTACCCTTTGGAACAATCTACTCCCAGAGATACGAGTGATCTCCGACCTCCGGACTTTTCATCGGGCCCTAAAAACTCATCTCTTTCAGTTAGCCGGTCTCTCTTGATTTTATGATTTTATGGTTGATTTTAAATTTTGATATGGATTTTAAATTGACAAATTTTAAACTATGGGCCAAATTTAATTATTTTAAATTTATTTTTAATTGTACTTTATGTATAAATGTTTTATTTTGGCTGTTCACCGCCCTGAGTCCGAAAGGAGAAGGGCGGTATAGAAATTTGAATAATAATAAATAAATAAATAAATAATAATTCCCCCTTACTGAGAAATTACCACCAGTTCATGGGGGCCCTTAGGAGGCGTTTTGAAGACCACTTAGCTGAACGAAAGGCGAGACTCAGGATGAAGGGCATCTAGCAGGGCCGGAGGCCTGTGGCAGAGTATATCCAAGAGTTTTGTGAGCTGGCACCCTATATGACAGGGTGGTCAGAAATGGCTCTGTTGGAGAGCTTCAAGGATGGACTGAATGAAGAGATATACCGAGACTGTAGAAGTATGGGGGTCCCCGAAGACTTGCAGAGTGGGTACATAGTGGCTGAGGATGTGGAGATCGAATTGGCCCGAAGCCGACTTCGAGGAGGGCGTACAGGGGACCAGTCATCTTCCTGCCACCATAAGGGAGCACCAAAGATGGCTGGGGGGAGAGCAGAATTTAAACCCAAATCAAAGCCCTTCACCTGCTTCAAGTGTGGAAAGGAAGGACACCGGGCTGCCGAATGCTTCTCCAAACCAGTGCCAAAAGCTGCCGGCTCCGGGGCCAAGAAGGGTGACAAAATACCAGCCAAGACCCGCAGCACTGCCCTGAAAGGAGAAGTCGTTGAGTTCGTTCCCCAAAACCAGGGTTAGCTGGGAACTCCGACCAATGGCGATGACAGCGAGACGGACTCCAATTCCGACACCGATGATTGGGTGAGTCGCATGGAAGACCCCCTGCTCATCCCCGTAGAAGTAAGGGTGCCATCCACAGGGACCTGTGCCCAAATGCTAGCCCTGTTAGACTCGGGATGCACCAGGTACATAATTAGCCCCAAGGTGGTGGAGGAAATGGGACTGAGACTAAAAACATTAAAAAGACCCATTGCGTTCTGTCAGTTAGACGGATCGATTGCAGGAGGGGGCCCAGCCAGTTTTATGACCGAACCCCTTGAATTGCAGTTGGGAGATCATGTAGAGAATCTCAGATTTATTGTGGCCCCTGGCATGGAGAGACCCCTCATACTTGGACTGCCCTGGCTTCGTAAATGGAACCCACGGGTAAATTGGAAGACGGGGGTCCTGTGCATCCGCACTGCAAAACCGATTCCAGAGAAGGAAAGCCCACCCCTGAAGGACGATATAAAACCGGAAAGAGCGGAAGTAGCAATAGACCATATTGAGGGGCAGGAGAAGATTCCAAAGGAGTATTGGGATCTCTGTGAAGTTTTTAGCAAAAGGCCTCAGACGCGCTGTCTCCCCACCGGGCTACTGACTGCACCATTGAAATACTCCCCGGGGTGAAGTTTCCCAAACCAAAAATCTACCCCATGACCCCTCGAGAATTAGGGGAATTGCGAAATTTTATTGACAAAAATCTTGAACGGGGATTCATTGAACGAGCCAAGCCTAAGGTGGCGGCGCCAGTGATGTTCCGTGAAAAGAAAGATGGCTCCTTCCGCTTGGTGGTCGATTATAGAAATATCAACGCCATTTGCGTGGAAAATGTTTACCCCTTCCCACTCATGAAGGACATGTTAACCCACTTAGGGAAGGGAAAAATCTTCACCAAACTCGATTTAAGAGAGGCATACTACCGAGTGAGAATTAAAGAGGGGGATGAATGGAAAACAGCATTTAATTGCCCACTGGGATGTTTCCAGTTCAGAGTGCTCCCTTTTGGCTTACAGGGAGCCCCTGCTGTATTCATGCAATTGATCAACGAAGTATTGCATGAGCACCTGTATAAGGGGGTGCTGGTCTACTTGGATGACATTCTTATCTACTCTGAGAACATGGCCGACCATGTGAAATTGGTGCGAACTGTCCTGAAAAAACTCAGGGCTGCTGAACTATATGCCAAACTTTCTAAATGTGAATTCCACCAAGATAAAATCGACTATCTTGGATATCGCATATCGCATGAGGGAATAGAGATGGACCCTGAGAAGGTTCGAGCAGTATTGGAATGGGCCGCGCCACGCACCCGCAAACAACTACAGAGTTTCTTGGGGTTTACTAACTTTTATAGACAGTTTATCCCCTCGTTTGCAAAAATCGCGCTGCCAATTACAGATCTTCTGAAAACAAAAGGTGAAGTAAAACCAAGACCCTCGAAACCACTTGAATGGACTATGGAGTGTCAAGCCGCATTCGAAAAGTTGAAACGGCTGTTTGCGGCTGAACCAGTACTCAAACACCCAGACGTGGAACAGCCTTTTGTAGTACAGGCTGACGCGAGCGACATAGCTGTGGGAGCAATACTCTTGCAAAGAAATGCAGAAGGGGAACTACAACCTTGTGCCTACACGTCCCGTAAACTATCAGAAACGGAAAGGAGATGGGCCATATGGGAGAAGGAGGCTTTCGCAGTGAGATGGGCGCTGTTAACATGGAGACAATTTTTAGAAGGAGCGAAGCACCCTTTCAAGGGTTGGACTGATCACAAAAATTTGGAGGTGTTAAAAACACCACGTAAACTGTCCCCAAAGCAAGCTCGTTGGGCCCAACATTTCAATCGTTTCAATTTCACTCTACGCTACCTTCCTGGTGGAAAGAACTTCATGGCAGACGCACTTTCCAGATTACCTCAGTACAACAGCATCAAGAAGGAGATGGTTCAGCCTATTATCCTTTCGACACAATTGACAGCACCAGTTACTACCAGAGCACAGGCAAAAGCCAAGCCAGAACTCTCGGGAGATTTAATTCAAAAATTACGAGAAGCCTTGGAAACTGACGAGTGGTTTAACAACCACTCGAATGAATGTATACTCCGTGATGGACTAGCTTGGATTGGGGTAAAATTGTATGTCCCTGCCAGTTTAAGAGCAACAGTACTGCAGTATGCCCATGACGCCAAGGCAGCGGGACACTTTGCCTTTGTTAAAACTCTACATCTTGTTAAGAGACAGTTTTGGTGGCCTGCACTCAAGAAGGACATAGAGGCATATGTGGCTAGCTGTCCAGTGTGCGCCTCGGCTAAAAGACCTCCAGGGAAGCCACCTGGATTACTCCAGAGTGTGGCTAGACCGAATGCCCCGTGGAAGGAAATATCCATGGATTTTATTGTGGACCTACCAGAGAGTGAAGGGTGCACTGTCATTTGGGTGGTGACGGATTTGTTTTCCAAACAAGTGCATTTCATCCCTTGTTCAAAGATCCCTTCAGCAAAAACCCTTGCAAAATTGTTTATTCGTCAGATTTACCGATTACATGGAGCTCCAAAAAGAATAATCTCTGACAGGGGTGTACAGTTTACTTCCAACTTCTGGAAGGAGTTTTTGAAGTTGATAGGCTCTGCCCAGGGACTAAGTTCCAGTCACCACTCCCAAACAAATGGGGCTTGTGAAATGACCAATGGGGTTTTAGAACAATACCTGAGATGTTACATAAATTACCAGCAAGACAATTGGGTGGACTTATTGCCATTTGCAGAAGTGGCATATAATAATTCCATACACAGTAGCACCGGGTTCACTCCGTTTAAGGTAGCATCGGGCCAAGATTTCATGCCGATCCCCGAGCTACCACAAGATGATCCCCAGAACCCATCCTTGATGGACTGGATTGAACAATTAAGGAGCACTTGGGCAGTAACTTGAAAAGCTTTAGATGAAGCACACCGAGCCCATAAGACCCAGGCCGATAAGAAAAGGCCCCCAGCACATGTGTATAAAGTGGGTGATAAGGTCTACCTCTCCACTAAGTACTTACAGACTTCCCAAAAGTCAAAAAAGCTTGGTCCCAAGTATGTGGGTCCATTTCGTGTGCTTAGATTGATTAATCCAGTAACAGTTGAATTAGAGTTGCCAAAAACGTTGAGACGAATACACCCTGTATTTCATGTTAGCTTGTTGAAACCTGAACACTCATCTCCGCTAAGGCCGAAACGAAGCTCCCCTCCAGTTCCCATTCTCATAGAGGGGGAGCAACATTTTGAAGTTAAGGAAATTTTAGACTCTAGGAAACACCATGGTAAAGTGCAATATCTGGTGGCCTGGAAACATTTTCCTTTGTCTCAAGCTGAATGGGTGAATAAACGGGATGTCCAGGCCCCAAAGAAAGTACACCAATTCTATACCAAATACCCAGATAAACCTTAATTCCTGTATATATTTTGTTTTCCCTTTTCCCTTCTTTTCTATTCTAGGACTAACGTCTTTTCTGCAGAGTGGCCGAATGTCAGCCTCCGCTTTTACTGCTTCAGCTGCCATAAGAAACGGGTGGGAAACAGTTAGGGGGGCAAAGTGGGGGAAGAGCGCAGGAGGAGTCTTTCCAGGAAACGAAACCGATTCTCCAAAGGGGCCGTCAGACCAACTGTCATTACATTCCTGATGGATGACGTTGCCAGACGTGATTCCACCTGACCTTTGGGAGACCTTTGGACTGGATGATGGACGATGGACAAGGGGGGGGGAGATGCTTTCTAGATGCAAATTCGCGCGTTTTGCTTAGTTCCAGCTTTACCTGGGTTGCGATCGCTTCATTTTCAGTAAAAGTACTAATCTCTATAAATAATGGAGTTTGGGTCATTCTTTCCTGGATTTTGAAGGAAGCATACCTGACAGGCGGCATATAAATACATGAAATAAATAAATAAATAAATAAGTAAGTAAGTAAGTAAGTAAGTAAGTAAGTAAGTAAGTAAGTAAGTAAGTAAGTAAGTAAGTAAGTAAGTAAGTAAGTAAGTAAATAAATAAATAAATAAATAGTATATATCTTAACCCAAATGTTCTGACTACTGCAATTTCATGTATTTAAACTTCTTATTTCTGGGTCTTATTTTCAAGTCTTTGAAATGTTTATCCCTACATTTTGTCATGTCTTCATATTGAATTAAATAATTCATTATTACCATTATATTATTTCATCAATTATTTATATTCTTATTTCTTATTTTAAAAGTAATCCATTTATCATAATTTCACTAATTAATGAAACATATTCAATAAAAAATCAATTAAATATCAATCTTACTCCAGTACCCCTAAATTTAAATTCATACAACATAATACAATTCCTAATTATTTTCTTAGAATCTCTCATTCCAGTCTCAAATAATTTTTTCTTTATCAACTGTTCCAAATAGTACATTTCAACATTTTTATAAAAACCAGTTAATTATATCTGCGCGCTTTCCACCATGCCCTTAAAACATTCCTATTCCAGCAGGCCGGCCTGGCCTAACCTCTTTTTTAAATTGTTTTTAAATTTTTAAATTTTAAATTTGTCTTATAAAATTGGGGTTTTTAAATTTTGTTTTCTGGGCCAAATTATTCAATTGTATTTTAATGATTTTATAACATTTGTATTATATGTATTTTATCTTTTGGCTGTTCACCGCCCTGAGTCCTTCGGGAGTAGGGCGGTATATAAATTCAATAAATAATAATAATAATATCTAATTCATTCATAATCCAATATCATTTCAACTTTCTTATTTAGTTAAAGTTCCAAATATGCAATTGAAAATATTTGTTATTACAATCCCCTCATTAATTAAAAATATTCCAATTATTACATTCATACATCCATATAGTTTAAAATCATTTCATTAAAAATGCAATTTCATCTTTTCTCTAAGATTCATTTCATTTACCCCATATTCCTCTTCCATTTCTCTCTTCCTTTCTATCTTTGTATTTTATTTTATTTTTCTTTCCCCTTCTTTTCTTTTGTATTTCAAAGTCCTGAACTCTTTTCCTTTTTTCTTATCTTTCCACTCATACAAGTGTAATCATTTTTTTTATATTCTTTCTATTCCTCCCTCTTTTCTTTCTTTGTTTCCCCTTTTTCTATTTCTTCCATTGTTAATCCCAATGTAATTTTTGAAATTCTCCTTTTTATTATTGCTACCCACATAATCATTTCATTCTCCATAATCAATCTTGTCTTTGTCTTCTTCTTTATCGTCAGTCTCTTTTTCTTGCTTCTCATTAGTTGTTTCTTTGTCAGCTTGAATGTATCCTAAGTCCATTTTTTGGTCATCAAGTTTCAATTTTCCATGCAAGATTGTGGTCATTTCCCTTATGTCCATTTTCAATGATAAGCACATCGTTTTCATCATTTCCTTAAATTCCTGCACCATTTTGTTCTTTCTAGGTTAATATTATTCCAATTGAAGTTACGTTGTAATCCTTTTTTTTCCCCAAAGCCAAGGCACTTGTGAACAGACAAAGCCTCCTTAAAAATTCTCACATGCTGTTATCCCTTTCAAGGTCCAATTTTTTTTTTCTTTCCAAAACAAAGATTCAGTGCTGCAATAATTTTTTTTCTCCTGAAGATGGCTCTCTGCAATCCACTATTACAATCAACAAGCTGGAAAAGTATCCATTTGTAAACAATTTTTACTTATTTAATTTTTTTTCTTCTTCTTTTTCACCTTATATGCTCCAAATTTTAAATTGGTTTAAAATTCAGTCCAGATTTGCATAGTCCAAATTCAACGTTACATTCCAATTTAGTTTCAATTTAAACTCATTAACTGGTCCTTTCTGTTACAAGTTTTTCTTCCTTCTTTATCCTTCTTCCTTTTAAAGTTCCCAAATTAAAAAAGGGTCTTTTCGGATTCTTAATTCTTCTGATTTTTTTTTTAAAGTTTTCCAATTACTTAAATCCCAAAAAAAAATTTTTTTTCAGATCGGGTTTTATCATTTTATAATTTCCATCTTAATCTTCTTTTTCCATCCTTTCCCACGCCTATTAGCCGCTGTTATCACACCAGGACATTTACAATTGTTTTAAAAATCCTCTTTTTTTCTTTTTGCCTATGAGTTAAATATCACGCACCCGGCATCAATATTCCGCTCAATTCTCCACTCCTGCACAGTGCTTGGTCCAGTTGCCCCAGTTTACTGGCGGTTGTAATAGTCAACACCCCCCCCCCCCCGCTGCAGAGTCAGAGAGAATTTCCTCTGACCTCCGAGGAACTTGCCTGTTCCTCTTGGTCTTCCGAGGTACCTCTCTTTTTTCCCTGTCCCTACAGGACAGATCCGGTCCAAAGCCCCTCTGCAGCGGTTCGTCAGCCCGGGATTCCGCAGAGCTCATCAGAGCCCGCTAATCCCTGACTGTCTCGCTGCAACGATTCTGGTCGAATCAAGGCTCCCATTTTCTAGCCTGCTGCCTTTACTGATAGACCAAACTAACTCTGGGGAGGGGAAAAATACACCAGTTCACAATGCAAATATGAACTTGAATTATACAGGTGGTCCTCGAGTTATGACTGTAATGGAGCCTGCCCATTCCATTCATAACTCGAGGATTTGGGGGAGGGAATCTCGTCCCATGGATGTGATCACTCCCTCCTTTTGGCCATAATCGAATGAAAGGCTTGGTAAGTGCACAAGAGGTATTTTGGGGTGGGGAAGGCCATGGGAGGGCCTAGTGATGGGACAGGACACCTGCCTAAGACCATCCAAGGCCTCCCCGGCCCACTGACATACCTCATGCTTCTCACAATTGCTTCCCCCCACCCACCCAACCTGCCACACCCGGTCCCTTACCATGCGAAGATCTAGCAAGCTGCCTCCTCTCCAACCTCTCAGCTGCATCTGCCACTCTGCACTTCCGTTCGGGCCGCTGGAGGCTTCGCCCAGCACTGTGCCAACTGAAATGGAGCTCAAGAGGCAGATCCACCCCCCAGAAGCTCCCTTTCGGGCTGCTGAGGCGTCTTCTACTCTGGGCCCTTCATTTGGGCCTCAGTCCCAAGTGTGAACTTTCTCTTTCTGCAGAAATAAACAGCATAAAGCTTCACTTCCTGCTTCTCACCAGACTGAGGGCTGTTTGCGGGGTCTGGATCCAGAGGCCCTTCCCCCAGAGGCCTCAGTGGCTGCGAGGGCCTCCTCCAGGCAGGACCTGCCCTATGCTGGCATCTGGAAGGCCACCCACTGCCTGCCCAAGGCTGGCCTTCTCTTCCCCCCCCCCCGCAACCCAGGCACCAGTGGGGTATCAGAGAGTTTCCTTGGGGGGGGGGAGAGAAATGGCTGACACACTGGAACTTCTGCAAAAGGCATGGGAGGGAGGGAGGGAAGGAAGGGACGGCTGAGCTAGGCAGCTAAGAAGTCTGGCAAGAAGCAGGAAGTGAAGCTTTCCGCCGTTTATTTCTGCAGAAAGTTCACGCTTGGCTTCTTCATTTGCTTTCCAGAACTTTAAAGGGTGCCAGGGTGTATAGTCTTCCCACCTAATCCCCAAAGAGTCCATTATTATTTGTAACGCTCTTCCAGTGAAGTGGGTTCCTCTATCACAGTCAAATCCTTCCACAATAGCATACCCATAAATTCCAAGGGCAGCATAGGATTTCAAATATGTTTCTACCAATGCTTTAGTTCCCCAATGACTCCCCTCATGCAATTTTTTTTAAAAAATCACTATTCTTGCAATATTTTGTGATAACTACAGAGTTTCCTTAAGGCCCTTTTTGTTGTTTGATAATTGTATATTTACCATAACTTCAAAAAGGAAGAGACGCCGAAGGCGAAAAAGGGGTAAGTGAGCGGTAATTTGGAATAGACTAAGAAAAAGTGGGATAAAAACCCCTTTCCCCTTACTCTTTCTGACTAATTTACGCTTACTAATAAGATGGATGAATTACTTCTTTTAAATAGATGCAATTTTGATTTTTACAACTCTGCTTCTCTGAAACCCGGCTAAATAAGACAATTGATGATAGCAACCTGCATATTCCAGGATTTCAGATACAACGATCAGACAGAATTGCAGAAACATCTGGTAAAAAGAAGGGAGGAGGCTTATGTTTTAAATTTTTAAATTTAAATTTAAATTTAAAAATTTAAATTTTTTGTCTCTGGTCAGTGGCAGAATGAGCTAGAAATAGGGGATTTAGTTATAAAGCCCTTGTCACGGTCTGATCATTCACTCCTTCGACTGGATATTCGAACCACTACCCCTCACTGCAGGGAGACAGAACCGGTTAGATGGTTCCGTTCCAGGTGCCTGATGGACCCGGAGAGGTTCCGGACAGAACTTGGGCCACTTCCTGAGGCTCTGGCCCACAACTCGACTGAAGAACTAGTGGCTGCCTGGCATAGGGCAGCCACTGGGGCTTTGGACCGCATCATGCCTTTGCGGCCTCTGACTCGGCACCGATCTCAATTGGCTCCTTGGTTCTCCGAGCTGAGAGAGCTGAAGCGCCGGAAAAGATGCCTGGAGAGCAGTTGGAGGGCCAGCCGTTCCGGATCTGACCGAACACTGGTGAGGTCTCATATTAAGACCTACCTAGTGGCGATCAAAGCGGCAAAATTTAATTATTTTTCCTCTCTGATTGGGTCTGCGGATAACCGCCCAGCAGCCCTGTTTAGGGTGACCCGCTCCCTTCTCCATACGGGAGCGCGAGAAGACCCCTTGCAGGGTAGGGCTGAGGATTTTGTGCAATATCTGCAGGACAAAATCGCTCAGATTCGGGAGGGCTTGGACTCCGACTGGATGGGTTCAGATGGGATGACGGAGGTGGGTCTTGTGAATGTTAGCTGGGAGGAGTTTGACCTTGTGACTCCGGAGGATGTCGACAGGGTCTTGGGTAGGCTGAATGCGACCACATGTTTGCTGGACCCGTGATTCCTCCTGGTTGGTGCTGGCTTCCCGGGAGGTTACACAAGGCTGGCTCCAGGGATTATTAACACTTCTTTTGAGTGAGGGTTTCTTTCCCACCACTTTGAAAGACGCAGTGGTGAGGCCCCTCCTCAAGAAGCCTTCCCTGGACCCGGCTGTTTTATCAAATTATCGTCCTGTCTCCAACCTTTGTTTTGTGGCGAAGGTTGTTGAGAGTGTGGTGGCACGACAGCTTCCTCAGCACCTGGATGAAGTGGATTATCTGGATCCGTTCCAGTCGGGTTTCAGGCCTGGGTATAGCATGGAAACGGCATTGGTCGCATTGGTTGATGATGATCTCTGGAGGGCTCGGGACAGGGGTTGTTCCTCTATCCTGGTCCTGTTAGATCTCTCAGCAGCTTTTGATACCATCGACCATGGTATCATGCTGCGCCGGCTGGAGGGGTTAGGAGTGGGGGGCACCGTTATATGGTGGTTCGCCTCCTTCCTCTCCGGCCGTACGCAGTCGGTGTTGGCAAGGGGGCAGAGGTCGACCCCAAGGCGCCTAGTTTGTGGGGTGCCACAGAGGTCAGTCCTCTCACCCCTCCTGTTCAACATTTATGTGAAGCCGCTGGGTGAGATCATCCGTGGCTTCAGGGTGGATTTCCATCAGTACGCTGACAATACTCAGCTGTACATTTCCACCCCAGGCCACCCCAATGATGCCTTGAAGTGATGTCCCAGTGCCTGGAAGCCATACGGATCTGGATGGGGAGGAACAAGCTCAAGCTCAACCCTTCCAAGACTGAGTGGCTGTGGTTTCCGGCGTCCCGTCATAGTCAGTTGACTCCATCACTGACTATTGGGGGTGAGATCTTGATGCCCTCAGAGAGGGCTTGCAACTTGGGCGTCCTCCTGGACTCGCAGCTGTCCTTAAAAGACCATCTGACAGCTGTGGCCAGGGGGGCTTTTTATCAGGTTCGCCTGATTTACCAGTTGCGTCTCTTTCTGAATTGGGACTCTTTATGCACAGTCACTCATGCCCTCGTCACTTCCCGTCTGGACTATTGTAACACTCTCTACATGGGGCTCCCCTTGAAGAGCACCCGGAGGCTCCAACTGATCCAGAATGCGGCCGCGTGGGTAATTATGGGAGCGATTCGGTGCTCCCATGTAATACCGCTCCTGCGCGAGCTGCACTGGCTCCCGATGGTGTTCCGGGTGCGATTCAAGGTGTTGGTTGCCACTTTTAAAGTGCTCCATGGCATGGGCCCTGGGTATCTACGAGACCGCCTTCTGCCACCGATAGCCTCCCATCGACTGGTACGCTCCCACAGAGAGGGGCTCCTCTGGGTGCCGTCAGCTAGACAATGTCGGCTGATGACCCCCAGGGGGAGAGCATTCTCTGTGGGGGGGGGCCACCCTCTGGAATGAGCTGCCCCCGGAGATTCGTAGGATTCCCGACCTGCGTACCTTTCGTCGCGCCCTAAAAACATTACTATTCCAACAAGCAGGGCTGGCCTAAATAATAATATTTTTACTATTTTAATGGGTTGTTTTATTAGAATTTTTGGCCAATTGATTTAATTGTTTTTAATTGTTTTTAATTTTTATACTGTCATGGTTTTATTTCTGGCTGTACACCACCCTGAGTCCTTAGGGAAAATGGCGGTATAGAAATTTAATAAAAATAAAAAAAATAAAAATAAATGTTTATATATCAATGACCGCTGGTCCAGAGACATAACTATACTAAAGAAATACTGTGATGTTAATTATCAATTGCAAACCATATTATTCCCCACGTGAGTTCTCATTTCTCCTTATTGCTGTGTAATACAGTAATAATAAACCTTGGTTCACAGCTAAAGTTAAGCAGCTACGTCGTTCCAAAGAGGAAGCCTACAGAAAAGGTGTTAAAATGCTGTACAATCAGGCCAGAAACGTATTAACAAGGGAGATCAGAGCAGAAAAAAGAAGCTACTCTGAATAGCTAAGGAATCAGTTCTCAACAAATGAACCAGCAAACATGTGGAAAACTTAAAAATATCACTGATATTTTTCTTCTTCCCAAGCTGAAGGAAATCAACAACTGGCATGTGTGAATGTGTTTTACTGCAGGTTTGAGAGAAAACTACTGTCACCCATCTGCACAATCCCGATCTCACAATCCCGAGACACACCAACGATAGCTAAGCCTCCTACAACCCACTCTATCCCATTGGGCCCACCACCTCTGGTGATTACAGAGAATGAGGTGCAAATCCTATTTCACAGACAAGAAAAGCCAGGAAAAGCATCAGGTCCAGACAAGATAACTCCTTCTTGCTTAGAAGCTTGTGCTGACCAACTGGCCCCCGTCTTCACCTGCGTCCTTAATAAATCACTAGAGATGTCTTGCTTCAAACGCTCTACTATCACCCCAGTGCAGAAGAAGCCCTCCATCAAGGGACTGACCGACTTCAGAGCGGTTGCTCTAACATCTGTCGTCATGAAAACCTTTGGAAGGCTAGTGCCCGGCCACCTGAGAACCACCACGGATCCGCTGTGAGACCCCCGGCAGTCTGCCAACCAAGCAAATGGATTGACAGATGATGCTGTTAATGTGGCTCTGCACGACATCCTACAACCTCTTGAATTGAATCGAAAGACCTGCGCAGGGCTCCTCTTTGTAGACCTCAGCTCAGCATTCAATACCATCGTTCCAGACACTCTTCTAACTCAACTAAATCAGCTACAGGTACCTGAACATACTTGCAAGTGGATCATAAGCTTCGGAACAGATAGGAAGCAGCAAGTGAAGATAGGCAAAAGCGCATCAGTGCCGAAAAGGGAGTGCGTGCGTGCGTCTGGGCAGCAACCCAGGAGAGGAGCTGCCGAGGGCGCATGTGCACGCCCAAAAATGAACTTCCGGTTTCAGTTCCTGAATTTCCCCCGTTTCAGCCAGCTACTCTTCCGGGTTGCTGGCGCCCATGCTCACACCAGAAAATGGAAGACCAGCTCTTCTAGTGGCTGGCACTGCTGCATGCAAACAGGCCAGCTGATCGCCGTGCACACATGCGTGCCAGAAACCTGGAAGAGTAACTGGCGACGCCACGCATGCCAGGTGACATGAGGGGGCTGGGATTTTTTTCCCCCCAACTAATAAATATTATAAATAAAGTCACAAGAGATTCTTCAGATCGAAGATGTGAGATTTTTGGCTCATTGCTGCTGCAGAGTGTGGGGTTATAGGTCTGGGGGAGGGGCAGGGGGCTTTGCAACCCCTGTGGGGTCTTTGGCGATCTCCCAGCTGGATGGCTTTTTTTGAAAACGTTTTATTACCAAACTAGCTGACATTCTCAGCGCACCAGGGGCCCCAC